CTTGTTTATGTCTTCTGCCCATTTTTGGATTAGGTTGTTTGTTTGTTTGTTATGAAGTTGTATGAGCTGCCTATATATTCTGGAGATCAAGCCTTTGTCAGTTTGATTTGCAAAAATTTTCTCCTATTCTGTAGGTTATCTTTTTGTTTTAGTGATGATTTCCTTTGCTGTACAGAAGCTTGTAAGTTTCATTGTTTTTATTTTTTCTTTTCCTTTTTTAATTAAGACATGGGATATATTTTATTTCTTTCTTATTTTTTTCACTATAGCTTAATTTATCATTTGTCCTAAATTCTCACATTTCATTATGTCTGTTTATTATTAGTTATGTAAACATTCCTTAAGTTGTAGTTTGAGTGCATAAACATATCAACTTAGTGACTAACAGGTAGACAATTTCTTTATAAATTATCTTCTCTGTTTAGGATGAAGATTTACTAATCCTCATTCCAAAGACAACCCTTTATAACAAAAATATCATATGTATCACTTAGGGACATATGGTTCCAAAGTCTTATTTAAAACTTTGTATATTAGTTTTCTACTGTGCATTTAAAAAGTACCACAAGCTTAGCTTAAAACAAGACAGAATTATTATTTCACAGTCCTAAGTCAGAAATTTGAGAGTGGCTTAGCTGAGCATGGCTCTACTGGGTCACCTCAGTGCCTCACCAAGTTGAAATTAAGACGTTAGAGGTGCAATTTTCATCTAAGACTTTGTATCCTTTTATGGGTCACTTGGCAGAATTCAGTTTCTCATAGTTGTAGCAGTAAGGTCCTTAGCTACAAGAGACTTCTCTCTGCAGCATGGCCATTTGCCTGTCTTTGAAACCAGTAAGAGAGCATCCCTTGCACTTCTGTCTTTTAAAGGGCTTGATTAGGTTTTGCCCACCTAGGAGCACCTCCCTTTTGATTAAATCAAGCCTTAATGACTAATGGTCCAATTATAAGACTGATAGCCCATGAAGTTTACAAATCTCAACTACATTCAAGGGGTTGGGATTATATAGGGTATTTATACCAGAGAGCGGGGATTTTAGAGACTGTTTTAGGATTCTGCCTACCACACCTTGCAAACAGTACAGACATTCAGAGAATTTTCCATTTGTCTTTGCCCCAGCAATATGAAGCTGGGACGTGTCCAAGCGAGGAAACTGTAAAAATTTAGTGAATACTTAGTCTCTGCCAGATACTTTGTATTCGTTGCCTTATTTAATCTCCACAACAACCCCATGAGGGCTATTTATAATCTTTCCTGGTTTGTATATGGAGAAACTGAAGCTAAGAGAATTTAAGTAACTTGTTGAAATGGAACTCAGATCTAAATGGCCTGTGTTATTTACACTCTACCACACTGTCTCCTAGTATTAATCTTGATTTGTATATAATTTACAGTTTTATGTAAGTGCAGCATCTATCCAGGTAATTTATTACCAATTTGTGAGTTATTAAAATTTTTACATGCAGTAATGGTACTATAGTTATGGTTTTAAAAAGAAACTGTGTCCTTTTAAAGAGACATTCTAAAACATTTACAGGTGAAATAACATCCTTGTTCAGGTTTGCTTCAAAATCATTTATGGGATTTTGGAGAATGGGTGGGAAGCTGTCAGTGAAACAGAGCTGACCAGAAGTTGATAATTTTTGAAGCTGAGTAATGGGTAACAGGGCTTATTATACTATTCTGTAGTGAATATTAAATAATCCATTCATCCCTAGTTACAGTTCTAAACATGAAAGAAATAAGGCTAAAATTTCACTTTTTTTAACATTTTTTATTGAGTTATAGTCATTTTACAATATTGTGTCAAATTCCAGTGTAGAGCACAATTTTCCAGTTATACATGAACATACATACATTCATCGTCACATTCTCTTTCGCTGTGAGCCGCCACAAGATCCTGTATATATTTCTCCTGTGCTACACAGTAAAATCTTGTTTATCTATTCTACATAAAATTTCATTTCTTAAACATCATAATGTCTGTAGTTTTAAAATCATGAATCTTTATTCATTTTCATGGAACCATAAAAGTTTATACAAATATTTCCTTTATTAAAGTAGTATTTCATAGTGATTAAGAGCATGGACTCTGGAGCCTAACTCTGGGTATAAGTCTTACTGTTGTGATAGTTAATAGTTGTATGACCTTGTGTAGGTTATTTAACATCTTTGTCCTCAAGTTTTTTTTTTTTTCATTTGTGAAATGGCAATATTTGTACCTACCTTATACAGTTCTTGAGTATACTATGTAATGAATAGACATTAGAATAAGATAGTAAAAATATATATACATCCACATGTATTCATATGCATTTATTTAAGTTTTCTTTTAAATAAGAGACTTAAGATAATTATTTCCCTTTTGCATTTAGAGGGTAGTATATGTTCTTGTCATTCTTTTGAGTCTGTGGTTCTCAAACCCATGTTTCTAAAAGTTTTTCCTTTTCACAACACATATTTACATGGTTTTTTAGTGGGAGTCTTTTAGCATCTTGGGTGGGACAGTTCTTGTTTGGGATTGTCTTTTGCATTGTGGAGCATTTATATGTACCTTCCCCTCTGCCTACATTAAATGTGAGTCCTGACCTGTCATTGTGATAACCAAAAGTGGCCGTGCACATTTTCACATGTCCTCTAGAAGAATAGAACCATTCCTGTTTGGGATCCATTTGCCTATTCAAATTTTAATGGTGGTGTCGTAGATTAATTTAGAGCACTACTTTTCTCACAGCTCTATGTATCATATGTGTTGAGATGGTTCAAAGTGAGAACCAATAAGCTGAATTACTGGCATTACCACACTGGTTCAGTTATATGGGAGTTTTTGGTTTTGGAAAACATGTAAACCTGTGATCTGTCCTGCTCTTACTGAAAGAAAATTTTGGATGTATGGTGTGGAAGTAGATTATCTGTATTTTGGAAAATTTGCTTTAATAATACTCATACTCCACCACTGCTTGAGAGATTTCTGTGAGCTTAAATATCTATATTTCCCTTTCTTGTAGGTGATAGAAATTGAAGATGCTTCACCCACCAAGTGTCCAATAACAACCAAGCTGGTTTTAGATGAAGATGAAGAAACCAAAGAACCTTTAGTGCAGGTTCATAGAAATATGGTTATCAAATTGAAACCCCATCAAGTAGATGGTAAGAGACTAGTACATGATTAAAGTATTTTAGTTACATTTTACCGCTATTTGGTGTTTCCTGTGTGCCTCACATTCTGCTAGGTACTGAAGGTACTTTTACTGGTGAGCAAAACAAACATGATCCCTGCCCTTATGGAGTATGTAATCAAATGAGGAAGAACAAAATTAAATGATTGCAAAGAAAATGTATTATAAAAGGGGAAGTGTGTGCCACTCACAAATAGGTATACATAGCAAATGTATTCCACCTAATCTGCAGTGGTTGACTAAGGTAAGGTATGGGATAGGGAGAGGTACAGTTTAGCTAAAATCCTTCTTTAGGAAATGTTATTTCAACATTTTCAAGTATGCTTGTTAATAATATTTCTACATTTGTATTGGAAAGATACCAAATTATCCCTATCCTCTGCTTTATCAGAGTGGAATCAGTAAGTCAGTTTTGAGGTGTGTATGTGAATGATTGATAAAGGAAAGTTCTATAGTTCCTATTCCTTGGGTAGCACAAAGCCCCTTTTCTTGTTGTTAATGTTGAATAAAAGGAGAAGTGATGAATATATCTCCTGGGTTTTTCCCCCTGATTGACTCAAAAACCTCAAAGTTTTTGGTATTTAATATGAATCTGTACCTCTTTTGATAAAGTTTCTATTTAGATTCGTCATAAGTCTCTTTGGATCATCTCAGGAAATGGAGAAGTTCTGCTATAATAGCTTAAATGAGTGAAACAGAGTCACCTGTTGTGTGCCTATGTTCACTTTTTTTTTTCTAGTTAACTTTGTTGAGGGGTGAGGGGATCTCATTTATATTCAAGAGGTTCCTTATCTCTCTTTTTAAAAAATTCTATTTCTTGGAAGTTTTGGTTATGTTTTTATGTATTTACGAAGGAAGGTTTTTTAACTTAGGCATTTAAATTTAACTTAATGAAGCTGTCATTTTTTAGGTGTTCAGTTTATGTGGGATTGCTGCTGTGAGTCTGTAAAAAAAACTAAGAAATCTCCAGGTTCAGGATGCATTCTTGCCCACTGCATGGGCCTTGGTAAGACTTTACAGGTAAGAACATGAAGTTATTCTGTTTTTGTGCACTCATTAATTTAGGAATATGTGTTGGATTCTGTTATGTCCCAGGAACAGTTGTAGGGGCTGGAGATAAGCAATGAAGAAGAATAACAGTATTTCTTCCTTAAGAAGCTTATATTCTGGTGGAGGAAAAAGAGTTATATTCTGGTGAAGCAGAAAGAATTTAATCAGACAAAATAAGAAATTTGTACTTTCAGATAATAAGTGTTTAAAGAAGAGAGGAAAAGCATCTTGTAAGAAGTGATGTTTGAACCAGTGATCCTAATGAAGTGAAGGAATGGAGTTACAGGGATAGCCAGTAAAACTGCAAAGATCCTGAGGTGGAAATTAACTTCCCTTACAACTTTTTAAGTTTGTGATCTTTTAGTAGTAACAACATAATATATTTTTCACTATTAAGATACTACATTTCTACATGCAGGAAGTTGCAGGAAGAAAGCAGGAGTTGCAGCAGAGATGTGAAATTAGTGTATATATATGAATATGTATATAATTTAAAGCCATAAGACAGTTATTTTAGACTCAGTGAGACAGAAAACTTTACAGTGGAAAAGTACTTCATAACATACATGGGCAGTAGTATTTTCTGAATGTTAAAGTGATGTTCCTTGGGGACCAGGGACTTACTAGCTGTTTTTGGTGTGGTTACTTATTATATTTGTATTACTATTATTGATCATAGACTTATGGAGCTTTAGAGTTGGAAGGACCTTATGTATCATTTAGTTGAACATGTTACATCTTTTTATATGTTAATATCTTTTTCCTTATACTTTGCCTGGTTTGGAAATGTGACCTTTGGTTGGTTGCTTTCTTCTTTAAACCAAAAAAAACTATTAAATTGTAAGGTTGTTTAATTTATTGACTTTTTTTGTAGATAAATGAAGATAAACAAACTTAATTTGTTTTCTTGTAGGTGGTAAGTTTTCTTCATACAGTTCTTTTGTGTGACAAACTGGATTTCAGCACAGCTTTAGTGGTTTGTCCTCTTAATACTGCTTTGAATTGGATGAATGAATTTGAGAAGTGGCAAGAGGGATTAAAGGATGATGAGAAGCTTGAGGTATCATATTTTAAATGTTTCCTATTATTAAAATAACTGCATGAAATTCATATAGTAAAAGAAAAAGATTTTTAATTATCAGTGATACATATTTTAGTAGGGATATTTAGAATTCACACATTCCTACTTTTAAAAATCTTTATATTCCCACAAAAGGTCTCTGAATTAGCAACTGTGAAACGTCCTCAGGAAAGAAGCTACATGCTGCAGAGGTGGCAAGAAGATGGTGGTGTTATGATCATAGGCTATGAGATGTACAGGAATCTTGCTCAAGGAAGGAATGTGAAGAGTAGGAAACTTAAAGAAATATTTAACAAAGCTTTGGTTGATCCAGGTAAGATACTGTTAGGGACTGAGATAAAGAAGCATGTTGAATAAATACTTACATTTTAATTTAACAGATACTAACTGAGCAACTAAAAGTAGGTGAGTTTTGTTTCATTTCTCCTTGAGGTTTTTCTTTGTTTGCTTGTTTCTTTGTGTAATTTCATTAAGGTGAAATCACTCTTACGGTTGCTAGCTGTTCATTTTCTTTTAACATTTTTTTATATAGTTATAGTCATTTTACAGTGTTGTGTCAAATTCCAGTGTAGAGCACAATTTTGCAGTTATACATGAACATATATATATATTTATTGTCACAATTTTTTAGCTGTGAGCTACTATAAGATCTTGTATAGATTTCCCTGTGCTATACAGTATAATCTTGTTTATCTATTCTATATTATGAAATCCCAGTCTCTCCCTTCCCACCCCCAACCCCCTTGGCAACCACAAGTTTGTATTCTATGTCTATGACTGTTTCTGTTTTGTATTTATGTTCTTGTTTTTTTTTTACATTTCCACAGATGAGCGATCTCATATGGTATTTTTCTTTCTCTT